AAAAGTTGAATTTTAAATTTTAATTTTATGTAATTGTCCTTCATTCAAGATTGATAGTGTACAAAAGATTAATCATTATATTATTGGGTAATTACTAAAAGAATTACTCATTGTAAACATGATTTTATTTTTATTTGTTATAAAGCTAATCTCACCTCAAACTTGGTATCTAAAAGTAATTAACAGGATAATGTGATGTTTTCGGTTGATTTTGTCTTCTGATTATAAAATTTTGAGTGACAAAAAAGTTTAAACCTATTAGTTGTTGCTGATTCTGATTATTCTCTATAATTAATTTTTATCATCAGATTTTGTAGAAGAAGGACTAAGCTTAGTTAAATCAAGTCGGTTAATTTTCATAACACACAAAGCAAGTAATGTTGACTTACCAAATGAAGTAAAGCATGAAGTTTTTTCTATATCATCAACTGCAAAGCATGAAGGTTGTTGGTATTCTAGTTTCACCTATTTGTCTTCTATATGCTATTTCAGCAACAATACAAAAAAAAAAAAAGATAAAGAAAAAGTACAAGTAGGAGTGGTAATTGGGACAGATGTCCGTGGGGGGAATTTTTCCCCTGTTTAGAAACGAGGCGGGGGTGGGGGATTCCCTGTCCCTCCACCCGTTAAAAAAATAATAAATAAATATATGTATGTATATAATTAGTTATATGTATTATATAATGGATATTAGTATATGTAATATAATTGATAATAATAATTATATATGTCTACTACTAGAAATTATTAATTAGTTATACTAAATTAACTAATACATTTATACTAAATTTCTAATTACACTCAACACAGTAACACTTTTTTCCTCAAAAAAAAAATAAAAATGACTTGATAATTATATGTGTGTCGAAAGTGAAAATTTAACAACTTTAGTTATATTTGTTTCATGATGTTGGATTGTATTCAAATAATTTTTGTTTGATTGTTTTTATGGGTTTCAATTGTGAAATTACAATTGATAATAAATTGATGATATGTTGATATTTTAATACTTGATTATTTGCTAAAATTTAACTATAAAAAAAAAGTATATAACAACTTTTTATTAACTCCGCGTGAACACCTACAGGAGAAGCAGGGCGGGGCGAGAGGAGCGGGGGATGGGGGAAATTAGTGGGCAGCAGGACATATTCGCCCCGTTGCCATCCCTAAGTACAGGTACCAGCCACCCCGATCACCTATATGAGATGCACCATGCGTGTGATTGAAATGTATAAGGATTTCTGATTGGTTTTATGAAATTGTCACCAACTATTTTTGTTATGCAAAGGTATCCATTTTGTCCGATAGCGGTTCAATCTTATTCGAATTTTCTATTAATTTCTTTGACTCCACCCCTTTTAGTGTAAAGTTACAGTGCGTGTATAATAGGATTTATAATGTCCGGAAAAAAAAAAAACTATTTCTGTCCCGCAAGGGCCGCAACTTCGTTTTCAAGAATTAAAGCTAACATGCCGAGTCCATTAGATTCATTTAGGACTTTTCAGATGAGAATGAACATTCATTGCGTCCACCTTACTTTATTAATTACATGCGGTTTGGAATTTTTGGTAACGTTTGGGCCCATAGAGTTGTTAGCTCTCATTTTTATCCATGAGTGATAGTCCCATTTTATCCATGAGTTGATAAGTCATTCAATCTATCTGTATACAACTATTTACTTTTCTCTCACATATGCACATTTAGAGCTTGTTTAAATTATTAATTTTTAGGAGTTTTTTATAGAAAAATATATGATAATAATTTGATATGCATGAGATAAAAAATTTGATTGAAAAATATATTCGCAGAAAAAGTTTTTGATTAAAAAATATGCTCGTAGAAATCTCGAACCTAAATTATTATTGGAGGTAATGGTTTACAAATGTTGATAATAAATTCATACAGGCCAACAGGGTTATCTAATTTATCAGCTCCATGGATGAGTATGACCATCCTAGGTCACAGCAATGACAAATTCTCTTATTTATACAAAGAATAACTAGTCCAAGCTCCAATATATGTTGGGGTTGGATTGTGATTGTCTGCTGTTGAATCTTCTTCAACCACATACAACAATTATGGCCGAACTAGATTGGCTTGCTCGTGGAAAATTTTCTCCAATCCGGGCCACTTTGGGTAGGAACTTTTCATCAAAAAAAATGCCTGCGTTTTCGGTGAGCATATTTTTCAATCATATTTTACGTCACACATATCAAATCAGTATAATACATATTTTTACAAAGACTCAAAAAAATTACAATTCAAACACGCCCTTAATTAATTCCGTTTTTCATTATCATTTCGAGAAAAAAAAGGTTTGAACATCTCAAATCAGGTCTACGGGGTCGCGCAGCCGCATCTCAATTCGGGCCACTTTTGTCTTTTTCATCTTTTATTAATTTTTACAATTGCTTCTCATAGCAATGCAAAAAAAAAAAAAAAAAAAAAAAAAAAAAAAATATATATATATATATATGGTAATGGCAACGGGCCATAGTGGAATAACAAATTAAATATGTCCCATTGACGATCCCAGATTACGACAATGACAAATTCTCTACTCATTCGCTCGTCGCCGCTTGCTTGAATGAATAGTAATTTCTACTGTGTTTGGATAGAATATTAGTTAGAACAATTATGATAATATTTTTTATGATGTAATGTATGTAAGATAAAAACAAATATTTCAAATGATCGCCGAGTTTTGGCGCCTTAAAAATAAAGTTTACTCCTATATTTTTTAACTGTCTATTAATGGCTACAATGTTAACGGATCATATACTCCCTCCGTTCCACTTTGATAGTCCCGTTTTCCTTTTTCGTCTGTCCCAAATTGTAGTCCACTTTCTAATTGAAGAATGCAGTTGTATTTTAATTTTCCTAAAATACCCTTATTCAATGTAAGTTGTTGTTACTATGAACCTACTTCATTTAATGAGAGTTGATTCTTTTTTTACCATAAACCTACCCCATTCAAGTTTCCATAAAGTTGTACCATATTTAATGTGAGGGTATTTTAGGAAAATAGCAATCTAAATTTACTTTTCCAATAAAGTTAACTACTTTTTCTTAAATTGTATGAAAAAAGAAACAGGACTATGAAAGTGGGACGGAGAGAGTAATTAATAGCTGGATTGTTCGGTGGACGTGACACGCAACTCCCGCGCTGCCGTGCCGCCAGTTCTAAAGGATTTCATGCAGTGTCTACTCACTGCTCGATCAAGAAAGCACTGCCGTCTAATGAAAATAGACAACCACATGTTGGCATTAACAATTATGGTTGTGAGCAGTGTTTTCCATCCACATTTAATTTGGGTGCCTTTAGTAAAACTCAATTCTGAAGTTTAAATATATTAAATTTAATACATTTTGCGTGTACAAGTCAATATCACATTTGAGCACCGTTTCTTTGGGGTTGTGAGCAATGATTTCTATCCACGTCTTGTGAATTATTATTGTCTATTAAGATAGGAATCTTCACTTTTTTTTCCCCTTTTTTTGTGAATTATTGTCTGTTTGAAATCAAGAATTTTGTAAAAATTAGTTTTTCAAATACTATGGCTCCGCTTGGATTAGCTGTTTTTGGAGATATTTTTTAAAAATTTTACTGTAACTTTGTATATGAAAAACTTTTACTGTAGATATTTTTGGATTATTTTTAGAGGTATTTTTAAAATATATTTTTGAATATTTTTATAATTTAGAATTTTGTTGAGATTCTTTTTAAATATATACTGGCCCTATTTCTATATATGAATGTTTATTTATTTATATATATAATTTTTATTTTAATTTTGTTTTTTAATATGTATATTGTTATATATTTAATATACATATACAAATATATATATATTAATATACATATTATAAAACAAAATTGATATGTATATATTTATATAAATATATATAAATATATTTTAAACAAATATTAATATTTATATATAAATACATATATTTATTTCAATTGTAAATATATTTATAAATATATGTAAATATATTTAATTTATATATTTATATTTTGTATTAATATTTATATATAAATATATATATATTTATTAAACAAAATATATTTTTTTGTATATAATATTTATATATTAATATATTTTTTGTGTATTTGGAGTTGTTTTTAAAATATTTGTTTGGATATGGTGTTTTTGAAGTTGTTTTTGTAAAATTTTTACTGTAGTATTGTAGATGAAAAACAAGTTTTCGAAAAACTTTTAAATTCAAAAGAAAAAATTTAAAAAAAATATTCTAAAAGATATTCTAAAAAATAGTCTAAATTTTTTTCAATATTTTAAAAAAAATGTCAAAATATATTTTAAAACTCTTCTACTCTTAAATATTCGAAAATATACTATAAAAATTTTGTTGCAGTAAAATTTTTTAAAAATATCCTAAAAAACAGTTAATTCAAACGGGGCCTTCATTTTTTTGGTGAATTATTGTCCATTTAGATAGAAATCTTCACTTTTTTTTTTGGTCATTTATTGTATTAAATTTTGGGTGAATTATTGTCCATTCAGATAGAAATCTTTACTGGGTATCGTCCTTTAGGCTTCGTTTGGGAGTGGAGGATTCGGACAGAAAAGAAAGGGAAAGAAGAGAAAGTTAGCTTTTCTTTCATTTGTTAGTTTTTAGTAGGAAAGAAAAGAAGGGAAATGGAATGATTTAAGAGGATGAATAGTATGCAAAATTTTTCCTTCCAAATTGGAGAGAAATGGAGAGAAAGTTGGAGGAAGCTTATGAAAGTTTTTTAAAATATCCATTTTATCCTTAAAAATGTTTTGAACAAATATTTAATGACTTTCATATCCAAAATCATTCCACTAATTCTCAAAACTCCCAAACAACATAACAATCCCTTCTCTTCTCTTCTCTTCTCTCATAACTTAAGTTTTCCCTTCTTTTCTTTTCTATCCTAAACTCCCAAACTTAGCCTTAATTTCATTCCAGAAAGCAGAAAAAACCTTCCTTTCACCGGCTGTGTACTCACAAATATCATCAGGTTCAGGCAGGGCAACAAAACTTGCCCCTTTGGAAATGGGACGCCATTCATTGAAATGAATCTTCCACTTCCATAAATAAAGCTTGCTTTTTTATTCTTTTTTTTTTTTTTTGGGATGTTATTCGTCAAATATCTCATTGCTCACCTTACCATATGAAGGCGTTATAAAGATTACGCAAAACTCCTTTCTCTCTAATGATTCCCCCACCTCTTTAACTTTAATCATAAAGGAAAAAAATAAAAATAAAAAGCGTCTTCTTCCTTCCTTATTCTTCTTCATCTTTTCATCTTCGGTAGTAATGGCAGCCCGAGAAGTTTCCAAAAGTTTGCATTAATTTTTTTTTTTTTTTTTTTGGTTGAGAGGGGGAGGAAGAGAGGGGAATTTTTCATGGAATATCTGCGACAACGAGAACGAGAGGATGGAGGAGATATAGAGAATGAAGCAGGAGGAGAAGGAGGAGGAGAGGAGGTGGTGTATGAGAATTATGAGAGGAACGAGATAGAGAGGAAGGCGTCGTTTTTTTCGGAGAACCAGAGAGATCATGATGTATTTGGAGCTGGGGGACAGTCCGCGAATCGTCTTCTTCTTAGGGAGCCGCTTCTGAAGTCGAAGAGCAGAATTAACACTACTTCTCAGATTGCCATTGTTGGTGCCAATGTTTCTCCTATCGAAAGCCTCGATTACGAGTGAGAGAGATTTTTACCTTGGCATTTTTACTGTTAGAATAAATTATATGCTTTGTTTAGCTTGAATGCAAACGCCAATGAAGCAAAAAAAAAAAAAAACACACACACACACACACACACAAACCCCAAAACCCCAAAAAAAAAAAAATTGTCTATGTATGTCAAAATAACTGAGCCTTGAAGATTTGATCCAGGTTTGCGAGAAATAATCTCATAGGCAGGCAGAAGGAGGAACAAGTTTTAAAGAATATTCCAAATGTCTTTGATTAAAGGAAATTGGTGCTGGAATTCATCCAGATATCAAGCATTTTTCTTACTGTGTGCTTCATTTCTAACTAATGGATGTGTTTCTTTTTGGTGTTGGGGGGGCGGGGGAGCGGGGCTTGGTTTGCTTCATTTTTTTATTTCTACAATTTGATCCATTTCTTTTGAACTTCTTATGTGGCTACTTATGCATTTATATTTGCTGACTGGGTAATGTTGAAGCTGAGGCTCAAGTTGAGTTTGAGTACTGCTTTGAGTCGAGAATTTAAACCCGTAGCGCAAGTACTCAAGAAACTGATTTTAGTCGCACAAAGCTTGATAAGGTGGTACTCAAGCTTGACTCGGCTTAGTTGCAGCCTAGTCAATCACGCAACAATGTTAAAAATGATGTCTGCCTGGCATTAAGGAAATCTTCATGTTGGATCTTCTTGATCTAAATTGAAAATTTTAAAGCCAGAATTACTAATTGTATGTCATACAATGTTGTTGTCTTGATTAATTGACTTAATCATGTGAGTGGCTTATTGTTGACTAAATAATGTAAATTATCCTATGAATCAACTGTTTTCAACCCTTTATGTTTAATTTCAATTTTGCAGGATCATCGAAAATGAACTTTTTAAGCAGGATTGGAGGTCTAGGAAGAAGGTTGAGATATATCAGTATGTTTTTCTCAAGTGGACACTTGCTCTTCTCATTGGATTGTGCACTGGCCTTGTAGGCTTCTTCAATAATCTTGCAGTGGAAAATATTGCTGGTTTCAAGTTCCTACTTACAAACAACCTAATGCTTAAGCATCAGTAAGTTTAATTTCCACATTGTGTTGCATTTGCAGAGTTCTTCTGAAGTGAAGAAGAAATATGTGCAAAAGATGTGAGATTGTTGAATGTTAATGGCCAATTATGTTATTGGCCCTCTAATTGCAGGATGTTATCCCTCATTTTGAATTTATGTCTGGGAATGTGCTCTAAGAAATTTATTCTTTCTAGAAATTGTATTTAAATGTTGCTTTTATTTTATTTTCTAAATTGGATCAGTTGTATCATGTCTTAGGTACTCTAAAATCCATTAAGGCGATGCTGATTAGTACATTCTCGTTTGGTGCAATGTCAAATCTGGATTCTATGTTTTGTACAATGCCAATTATCAATGTTATTGGATTAAAACTTTTTGGTGTGTTTTTGGGGTGATGGGTCAATCATTTGCTGTATTGGTTCCATAGGTGGCACTCAGACTCAGTTAACCTGGATGATGACATAGTTCTGGTAGTTTAGAGGTTCAGTGGATGTCAATGGTTGGCAGTTTAGCCATGTTGTGTGGGCACTTAAAGTAATCATGCAGAAGTGAACTAGGATCATATTTTTTGTTCCATCCATGTGTTTGTACTTTTACTGAAAATAAAGTTAATATTAAGTTCATAGGAGTAATTCAGGATCCTCTCGCATGAATTCCTGCTGATAACCCTCTATTTTGCAGTGGTGCTAACATTGTAAGTTGTGAACTTCTTTTGTGTCCATAATTTGCTGGCGGTTGATAACAATTTTTCTTGTGGATAATAATATTCTTGTATTGCATTTTTAATTCAACAGAAATAGGAAGTAATGATGATTCTAGTGCAGGTACTTTTTGGCATTTGCAGCATATGCTGGTTGCAATGTAGTTCTGGCAGTTTGTGCTGCAGTGCTATGTGCATTCATTGCTCCTGCAGCAGCTGGGTCTGGTATACCTGAGGTGAAAGCCTATCTTAATGGTGTGGATGCTCATTCTATACTGGCTCCAAGCACGCTATTTGTGAAGGTTGGTACGCGCTAGCTTCTTCTCTCTCTCTCTTTGATAAATGACTGGAAAATTATAGAGAGAAAGTGCTATTTTACTCATGGATCATGTTATTCACCTCCACTGAACTGGAGGATCCTCTATCTTTGGTGCATAATTGTTATTTCCTTAGTGCTTTCAGTTTTGTTATGGAAACTAATAGGTGGATGAGTTGTTAGATGCAGCATGAACTCAATATTCCCTGATTGTGACATCAAAAAAGGCTCGTAATGTCTTCTTTTGTCTCCTTACATAAATTGGCTTTGGATTTAACAACAAATAAGTCCATGAAATATCAGACTTGTTCAGAAATTTTTTTCAATGGTTTTTTGCTGATTAAGCATGGTTCTTAAAATTCCATGTGGAAGCCAAGTAGATAGTTTGAAGATGCTTCTGTAAAAAAGACAAGAAGGTCGAAAAGAAAAATGTGCTGGGCTGGTTCTTGATGGGATTGAAACTCCTCGGTATCTTTTGTTAATCAAATAGTCAGCCTGGTGTGGATAATCCTGTCTCTGTGTGTGCACGTGATAAACAACAGTAACTTACATGATTGTTTTCCAGTTCTCTATCTACAGTAAGTATTGGAGTTTTACTCCTAAGTTTTTTGGCTCTTTTTAAATAGGTGCATGACCTGCCCAAAAAGGACCTTGCACATGTTGAATCTCGGCTCAGCAGCCATTGTTACCCCGTAGCAAAAGTTCCATGAAATGTTCATACAAGAGTAAGCTGTGTTGTTTAGATGGGCTCTTATTATTTGTTTTCTTTCAACTGAGTAACAATCTAAGTGGATCCTATTCTAAATTTTGCAGTTTCAGTGATTTCTTTTCTGTGTTGAGATTTCCTTCAGCAACTGTCATCTATAACGTTCATCTTGAATGTGAACAATATCGTCATTGCTTTTTGTTGCTACCAATTCTTGTGGCTTTGTAACTTTTGCACTAGCACTTGATTGTTCTCTTGCATGCCGAGAATACATGGAAAGACCAAAGAGTTCATGAAGGAATTCTTTTAGAGGTCCTTGCAGAGAGAAAGGCTAAAGGGTTCTTTTCATTTCATGCATACATTTGTTTGATTGTGGCATTTATGATTTTACTTTCTGAAAGTCTAACAGGAAGATGGAATTTTGGCAGATATTCGGTTCCATATTTGGAGTTGCTGCTGGATTTGTTGTAGGCAAGGAAGGACCCATGGTACACACTGGTGCTTGCATTGCCAACTTGCTTGGACAGGGAGGTTCACGCAAGTATCATTTGACATGGAAATGGCTTAGATATTTCAAAAATGACCGTGACCGAAGGGATTTGATCACCTGTGGAGCTGCTGCTGGTGTTGCAGCTGCTTTCCGTGCTCCAGTTGGTGGCGTCCTTTTTGCCCTTGAAGAAGCAGCCTCATGGTCTCTCTCTCTATCTCTGCACATGACGCATACCACACAAACATGTGCACAATCTTCCCAGTTTTCAGTATTTGCGTGTAGATATACCTCTCATGGTAGATATCGGGATTTGATTAGCACAATGTAATGACTAACACATTTGGTTAAATCTGCTAAACTGTGAATTAGCTCATAGCATATATATAATAAATTTTATTCTGGCATCTTTGGTGCCAAAACAGTGTGTGCTATTAGGGAGAGGGAAAAGAAGAAGAAGAAGAAGAAAAAGAAGAAGAAGAAGAAAAAACATTCTTGCATAGTTGTCTCGTCTTCCTTTTTTTTTTTTTGGAAAAGGGTAAAAAAACTGAGTTTATTTCAAATTCCTAAAATACGTAAAATAAATAGGAGGGAGGAGCTGATAAAGAATCTGGCTCAATAGTAGGAAATTTCGAAGGTTGTACGATACATGTTGTACATTTGCCATTTGCTTTCATGTCCTTCAAAAATTTCCAGAAATTCATCTTTTTGCTAATCTGTTGTAGGTGGAGGAGTGCTCTTCTGTGGAGGACCTTTTTCACAACTGCAGTAGTCGCTGTGGTATTGAGGGGTCTAATGATTTATTGTGGGAGTGGAAAATGTGGGCTATTTGGAAAAGGTGGTTTGATCATGTTTGATGTTAGTTCTGCAGTACCTGCTTATAGCACCCCAGATGTACTTGCAGTTATATTGATTGGAGTTCTTGGAGGCATCTTTGGAAGCCTCTACAACTTTCTTGTGGACAAGGTGCTTAAAACTTACAGCATCATCAATGAGTATGTCATCTAACGCCTTTCTTGGGATAAGCATATTAGGCTACGAAAGCTAAATGCCCAATAAACACAATCTGCCATGAAGTTTTAACTGGCAAATCAAACTTTTATATCAATAAGCCACTGAGCTCTGGAAAGTGTAATTTTTGGGGAACTTTAACATTTCTGATATCTTCAAGGCTTTGTGTACAGTGCTTTTTGTTTACCCAATATTTAAAACTGTTGGAATGGCCAAACTTACACACCTTTAAGAGTTTGATGGTCGTTGTGATGCAAAAAATGATTTAGTAGGCACAGAAAGAGAGAATAATTTTCTGATACAATTTAATCGGATATAGGTTCTTTTAGATAAACATTCTTGTTGGTATCCTTTACACTTAGGGAAATATATCTTCAACTTGTGAGAATCTAATATAATCTACTGATGAAGAATCACTTTCCTTGTATTATATCCCTCCTTTGTCCTTCCCTTTTCAAATGGAATAAGAGAAAATATTTTCCAATGTAATGTGCTCTCAATTGTTGTTTGGCACATAAAGAGAAAGTATGAAACTTTGCAAATCTCTGCTATAGCATCTGCTACACTTCTGCTTGCTCGAATGAGGTGTCAGTCCATGCAACTCTTAATTATTTAACATCTTGGGAAGTGATCATCATATTTAACAGACTTAAAGAGTTGTATGATCTCCAGAAATGCTTTGTTACTAGTCCTTTACACCTTTTCCTCTGCAACCATATGAGAGTTGGCTGATAAGCTTGAAAAGTTTGTGTAATGATACCAGAAAAACATCAAGGTTAACTAAAATTGAACTCTTACAGAAACATGCCATTCATTTTTCTATCATTATTGTTATGCTTCTCAAACTTCATCTTCGTAACAATTTCCATTTTATTTATTCACACATTTGGATTTATTTCCTGTTGACTTCATTTTAGATATAACTTGAAAGGTTTATCTTCAGAGTCTCTTCCAATTTGGATTATCAGAGTGCACTAAACATAGTATTATACTTTATTTCTTACTGGGATACCCATGATATCGGCTTTCCTGATGTTTCAAGATGAATTTCAGGAGGGGTCCAGGTTTCAAAGTTCTACTCGTCATCTTCATTACTCTCCTGACCTCTTGTTGCTCTTACGGCTTGCCTTGGTTTGCAAAGTGCACACCCTGTCCTACTGGAATCGAGGAAGATTGCCCCACAGTAGGTCGCTCTGGAGACTACAAAAGTTTCCAATGTGGGCCAGGACAGTACAATGATCTTGCTTCCCTTCTCCTTAACACCAATGATGATGCCATCCGTAATTTATTTAGCTCAAAAAATATTCACGAGTTTCACCTGTCCACACTTGTTGTCTTCTTTGTTGCTGTATATTTTCTTGGTATTGTTACTTATGGAATTGCTGTTCCCTCCGGGTTATTCATCCCTGTCATACTTGCTGGAGCCTCATATGGACGCCTTGTTGGACGCCTTGTGGAGATGGTCCTGGGGTCTTCTTCTGGTCTTGGTGTTGGCCTCTTTTCTGTGCTTGGAGCTGCATCTTTCCTTGGTGGCACGATGAGAATGACAGTATCACTGTGTGTCATACTCCTTGAGCTGACTAATGGTCTGTTAATGCTGCCACTGATGATGCTTGTTCTCCTAATATCAAAAACTGTAGCTGATAGTTTCAATAAGGGTGTTTATGACCAAATAGTGAAGATGAAGGGTTTGCCTTACTTGGAAGCTCATGCTGAACCATATATGCGGCAGTTGGTTGCAGGAGATGTTTGTTCTGGCCCCTTGATAACATTTTCTGGTGTTGAAAAAGTTGGTAACATTTTACATGCACTAAGATTAACGAGACATAATGGCTTCCCGGTGATTGATGAGCCACCTCTTTCCGATGCTCCAGAACTATGTGGGCTGGTTTTAAGGTCTCACTTGCTTGTTCTTCTGAAAGGGAAAAACTTTTTGAAGCATCCAGTATCCACTGGATTGGAAATATTAAAGAGGTTTCATGCGTTTGATTTTGCAAAGCCAGGATTGGGAAAGGGTCTTAAGGTAGAGGATCTGGAAATCACTGCAGAGGAGACGGAGATGTACGTTGACCTTCGCCCAATAACTAATACGTCTCCATACACAGTTGTGGAGACAATGTCCCTGGCTAAAGCTGCACTTCTATTTCGAGAGCTTGGTCTTAGACACCTCTGTGTTGTCCCAAAGAAACCTGGGGTAAGATTATTCATCTATTTACTGGTAAAGAATGCATATATTTGTTTCTCTATTGCTTTGAACTTCGTTATGTTAGGATAGGAATAAAGGCTTCCTCTTTTTTAATGCATTCTTCGTTTCCCCTTATTATGCTTGGTCTCCTAAACATCCCCAAGAACTATTAAGTAACAATGATGTTTTCAAAAGCATTACTGGTTATGCAAAATTAACCTCTTCTTTTTATATTTTTAATATTATGGCAGAGAAGGTGTGGGGTTTAAGAAGTGGGGAGGGGGAAGAGGAATTTGAATCTAAGACCTCTAATTCCTGAGGCCTCAACCTTAAGCACTAGGCCAAGGCTTTTTCGGCTCAAAATCACCCTTTGTTTCTACAGTTTTACTCATTTTATACACACACACACACACACACACACACACACACATTTTTCCAAAGCACAATAAAGCGATCACATTATTCATTTATACACGTATGTTGTTCACCTGTAACATCTCCTCTGTCCAAGCTTTATCCCTTACCTTTCAACCCCTTCTTCTGCCACGATCCTAGTTTGAGTCTCTAATTACACACTGTTTCCACCGCCTCTTTATTGCTGACTCAATGCTATCGGTTTGCTTTCCCTTCTCGGTCTTGCCTTTCTGGTGTATATTCATTTTCCTAGACATTGAAGACACGAGGAGTCAATGAGTTCAGTGATACAGAAGGGAAGAAGAGGCTTGGTGCTGGAAGAGAGCCGGGTTGGTTAGCATGGGTGAGATAGAAGTGGTGGGAGAAACCAAGAAATTTGGTTTAAGTGTCTATATGCGAGTTTTGGGAGGTGAAGTCTAATCAGCAGTTTCCAGGATAGGGGGGTATGCACTATGCAGGTCCCTCGATGCGGGATTATGATTGTACTGTAAGAGTCGAGGGTTTAACTTTTGATGTGGGGAGTGAATGTTGAGGTCAAATGGGTAATTTACAGAAGACAGGAAAAAGGGAAGACCTACCGAGGAAACAAAAATCAAATAAAAAGAAATAATAATGAAACATACAGGTACAGGTACAAGGATAAAAAGAGAAAATTACATGGTAACCTATCTTGCAACTAAATTGCAAGTAAGATTACTGTCAAATGACAATGCACCAAAAAGGAGAGAGTAAAAAAAGCTTCAATATGGATATTGGTCACATAGGGGACAAATAACTATTTACCGTAATTCTCCCGTCTTACACTGTTTTGACCGTTCTATTGCCTACTACCATTAGTAGGAAGGAAAGGTGATTCTAGATTACAAGCAAATGTGGTGCCAAAAGGGGAGGGAGTTTTATTTACTTGAAAGCCAGCAATCGGCACTTCGCTGAGGCCTAAAGGTGAAATAGAACGAAGAAAAGTTGTTCCTTGCTCTGGTGTATCTCTCGTGTATCTCAGGACATCCACCTTATAGGCTTTTTTTGCGAAGTTGAATGTGTAGTCCTCTTTTTGGTTGGAAATCAATGTTTCTCTTAGCTAACACTCGTTTTCATACTTTGCAGAGACCGCCAATTGTTGGAATCTTAACTAGGCATGACTTTATGCCTGAGCATGTCTTGGGGCTCTATCCACATCTTACTCGTGCCCACAAGGTCATGTAGCACAGGCAGGTGGACTAGGCCTTGAGTGCTGTGCCGAGTGAGTCCGAGTCTCTGCTTGATTACCATCATTTCTTCGATACGCTGATGCTTGATGTTTAAGGAGAAGAGGGCATGATACGCTCCCCGGCAGTTCTTAGCCCTTCTTTGAATTGATCATCTGCCACCATATACCCCTTCACCGTATTTCAGCCAGGCCAGTTGAGTGAATGGCTCTCACTCTTTGGTATCTCTCCCATGGATTTGTCTGGTTTTGGCAGCAATGTTCTTTGTATATATCTGTACACAGTAATCAAAAACAAAAATGATATCATGTGAGGGTATAAGAATGATGGTAATACTCGCATCATGAATTCGTTGTGGCATCCACATTCTTCTTGTAATAAATCAACAAATTATATAGAAACTGCGACTTGGTCAAGAATTTTGCTCAGTTGTAAAGGTAGCCTTTTTAACGATAGAGAAGGCCGGAAGTAATTCGTGATGTCTGTTTCTCTGCTTGTTTGCGTGTATGGATGAGACTGACGTGCACCTACAGAGCCTGGTTTAATAAAATTGCACGAACATTGGAAAAGAAAGTTTCTCTGCGCGCACTGTTCATTTAACACGTTCAAATAGTCTGCAAGAGGGGAAAAAGTGGAACCTTATATAGCGTTACAATCTCCACTAAATAGGCAAAAAGCATCAATGGACAAGGGCAAATTCCTTTATTCAGAAAAAACAGAATTAACAAGTGCATATTAAAAAGAGCAGTCCAATTATTTGCAAACACATAAATCTGCTTGAAAACAGAAGAAATAGTCGATGCAGAAAGGTCATCATCTCCGCCATGAACAGAAGCTGGACTGGGAGGATTTCGAACTTTTTATCTTCATCATGAAATGCCAAGCTCTAACAATGTAAACATCCAAGGCAGTCAGAATTAGCTAATATTAGAGTATCAGAAAGTGATATGCCAATGAATTAACTGTGACTTTTCAAACGCTATGGATACATGAAGAATAAGTTGCACTTGTGGATACGTATACAGAAGATTGCCTACAGCTGCAATTCATCCCACCAGTCGCTCGCACTATAAAAGGGCTATAGCACTAGTTTACTTTGTCCTATTTTTCTACCCATCCGGCTAGACTTTCTATCTTTGCCATTATAGGTTATATGCTGTAAAATGTCATAACCTGTACAAAATCATCCCATCCGCTTTATAAACGTAAGATGGAACTGTCTGATCTATATGTTTGCCCCTACTGAAATTGACCATCTTTGTCCACATGGCAAAGATGCAACTTGATCCCTAGTCCTGTATGGGAATTGCTGAGGTCGGAGAGCTATTACCAAGACAAGGAAGTTGAGTCATTCAACTAGATTTATCCTCCTTGAAAGGACCGGAATCATTTAGCAACTTCAGAACAAGGTTTACCTGCGGAAGAATTTCAGAGTATGTTGAATTAAAACCAATTTAACAAACTATTAGATTTCCAAGAAACTAAAAATTAAACAAAAGGTTGGAATTTTTGAGCCAAACAGAGGGTGGAATCTAAAGAAAAGAGATTACCGTATTTTCTGTTTCTATTATTTAAACCAACACATACACCTCCCCCAGGCGGGTTGAAAATCAGGTTTGAAGCAAGCTAAATGATCTGCCTAGCTAACAAAACAATTTAACAATACCACTTCACGTGCACAATTCAATTTGGTGAAGCAGAATCGCATTAAACAACGTCTAAGATCCTCCCAACTCTAACCCACCATACTAATCACATGTATCAAACTGCCAACAGAAATAAGTAATGAATGATAGTCCATCTTACTGACAAATGATGGTAATATATATTTACCTGAGATGCTTCCCGTACCAAAAAATCTGCTATCACTTTTCTAAACTCTTCATCCAGTATATAGTGACTGCTGTAAGTAGTCACAGGCAGGTAACCTCTCTGAATTTTATGCTCACCCTGAGCTCCAGCCTCTACTTTACCAAGTTTAAATTCAATGGCTGCTTCTATTGCCTGAAACATCATCAATCCAAATTATGTATTAAAAGCTTCGATCTGTTCACAGCTAAGGTGTTCTTCCTTTTTACCTATAGGAGCTTGTTAACATGCAGATGAAGATCTAAGCATATTAGACCTTTCTTACGTACAGTTACTAGGATTTTTAAGTTGATTGAGAGAGAAACATTTTGCCCTGTAATAGAGTGAACTGACATGAGAAGCGCTTTTCTTTGTATGCAACCTTGACCTCAGAACTTCGTCAATCAAAATTTAAAATAACAAGACCAGTGAAATAAACTTAAATTATATTGTAAAAGCAAAAGCAAGATCGTCCTAGGAATGGCTTTGCATAAATTTCATTAGATACCATTTGTCTAAAACATGTATTCTTTGATTTTAGATTGAAGTGTACAATTACCCAGCTAAAGGTCTAGTGTCCTGCATGTTATACTACCCATAGATCAATATTCCATCTTGACTGATATAATCAGAAAATATATTCAAACCTGGTAATAACAAGCTTCAAAGTGCAAGCTTGGATAGTAAACCTCTGGGTGACAGCCCCATAGGCGCCCATACAATGTGTTCCCTCCAATAAGATTCAGTGCTCCAGCTACAAGTTCACCCCCTTCTTCAGCTACAATAAGTAAAACACGATCACCCATCTTTGAAGCCATGTTGTGAAAGAATTCTCTAGTTAGATAAGCACTACCCCACCTAAGGTATGATCAGTAGATAATCAGAAAGATTGAAAGTGCTTGTAAGTTAATTACTGTACTACATTATTTATGTAAAAATCAATTAAAAAACGAGAATTTCTTATGACATATTCATAGAAATAAACCTTACTTGTTATCAGTGGTGTTTCGGTAGAATTGGTAGAACGTGTCCCAATGCCCAGGCTGGCAACATGAGATGTCGGGTAAAGGGAAGTAAGTACACATTTTTAAGGGCACAAAAAATGACTTAAAAGTAAACGTACTTAATTGAAAAGAAAAATTAAACTGTTAAAGATTCACAAGTCATAATTGTTAAATAATGCATGTAAATCAAAAGAAGAAGTGCACGCAATTTAGGAGGAAAATTTAAATTATGCCACAACAAGAAGTATGCTCAAGAAAGCCACAAGTATTACCAGTTAATGTGAAAGTGAAACAGGAAAGATCACGCACCAGCTAGTAAAGGTCTTAATATAATAACATATTGCAATTCATTATCTTATCGCAGAGAACTAAAAGAAACAAGTAGTAAAGGATTGAGAATCCACTGAAGATCGTTCAAAGAAAATCTTTTGCCTTCAACTGGAAAATTGAAGAAAGAGCAAAGAGATGGAACAAGTATGTGCTTTTGTCTCTTGCTAGAATATCAGAGTACAAGCCAGCTAGAAGGATTTGCAAAATATAAGAGAAAAGATGAGATAAACATATAAGATACTATTGGTTTGCTTCCTCCTCTTCTTGCACAAGTTTCCCCGTAAAAGAGGGGGGGGGGGGCATAAAATCAAGAAAGATTAAACTGGAAGAGGAAGTATGACAACGTTACAAAACAAGAAGAAGAACAAAACATTTTATGATTTGAAATTCTCCTAAACATTCCTCGCATTTAATAACCGGACATAACCATACAAATTAATACAGCCTGCAGACCTTGATGTCATCTCCCCTTAGCCATTTCATGGTCAAATTTTGAGCAGAAATCTGCAAGAAGAGAATTAATATGTTAAACAAGTTGATATATATCTCAAAGTTCTACAACATGACATACTATCTCAAATTGTCTTCAGCAAGTTGTACATCACATACTTAAGGCCTTCAAGAGATAGTAGCATAAGTTTTGTACTAAATTTGCAAGAACATGAAAACCATCAAACAACAAAAGAAAAAGCCCACCTTCTTGCGCTCTTGCCGAATATTTTTCCTTTTGCCTTGCTTCATATCCATCAAGAACTCATCAAAACTGTGAAACCATTCAATACCAAAACAGCAAAGATCATGACATGATCTGAAACTCTTTGCTACAAAGGAATGAAAATAAGTATAGAAGTCCTTGCAACTTCAAGACCCACAGTTAAACTTTGACCATGAGTTATGCATGTGAAAAGGGTACAACTAAAATGAACAAGGGCCAGATAACACTAACCAAGAATAAGTAAATAATTACTAAAGCGATACTCATTCAGAGATATAAGAAGGCTACATGGATGCTTAGTTATGTTTCAGTTGTGACCTGAAAAAAGGAAAACTCATTGTTTGGAATTAAAACAAGAATTAGACATTAAACCACTAACAACTTCCTTTCACTATAATTAACAAAAAGAACATAAACATGTAAGCTTCACTACATCAGTCAGAGTTGTGGTAAGGCCCAGTTGAATTAACGTTTTTTCCCCTCTAATTAAGCCAGAGGTTCATACCTGAGCCCTAATTTTATCAAATGACATAGCATCAGGTCACAAGAAGGGCAAAATGGCATGAAATTAAAATTCACATCAAGGTCATGCCAATTTTAAATCTATAAGTATATGGTTTATTAACAAGCATATGACAGTATGTATAATTACCTTTTATAATTACGATTTCTCCAATGGTACTGCATACCGATCCTCTGAAGAAAACCCTCTTCCTTCAACTTGCCCCACTCACTAGCAGAAGGAAAAGTAATGTGCAGTGAAGATACCTGGAACTGTTTACATATGAGCATAAATGTTAGCAAAAGGATCAATTCCATAATGAGACACAATGCTCTTATGCTTGTGCCATCACTTGAAAATAATCCACTGTTTCAACTTAACTGAATAGGCTTATCCATAAATCAGTAATATTCATTCCCTATTTTTGAGGTCAGTATAGTGAAGGAAAATGGTTATGTTTAATATCAAACCTGATTCGGGGAGTGCTCACTTAGACTCCTAACTCCTTGGCATGTACTTACATTGGGGAGGGGATGTAAGTAATAAGGATGAGAAACATGACATTAAGCACCCAAAATAAATATGTAGCCCACACAAGAGGTCCTACCTTAAGGTCTAGGATAAAATTACCTAGTAGAAGTTGTAAGAATATGCTATGCAAGCCAAACTCAACAGATAAAAGATTGGCATTGACATAACAATCTCATTAGATCATCAGTTCATGTTGAGTAATATGTGTTGTAGAAAGATCCCACCAGAGGAAAAGAAACTAACAGAGGCTTCATCACATAGATTGTCCACTTTCCTACTCCTTTTAAGAAGTCTGAGGGTCATAGTGTATTCAATACAACGATAGCAATATAAATAAGGCATAGAAACATAAACAAGGCAGAGGACCAAGCACTTCCCATGCTCAACAAAACCCTGCCAAATTGGTATTACTGAGGCCATATTGCTCAGGCCTGACCAGCCTGAGCCAGATACCCTTTGTCTGAGTTAGTATCAAGCATGGAAAACTAGGTCCAAGCCTCAATATTTCTCCAACACCTTATTCAT